CTCTGGCATGGCTCTGTGGGCCTCCCCTTCTGAGCCATGATGCTTTACCCTTAACTTCAGGAAGGATCGTCCTCTAGAAACCCTTCCTTCTAATCCTGTCCCTTGTACTGATGAGTCTGTGGTGGCTCCTGGCTGCTAGATGAGAAACAAGAAATGAATTTAAGTGAAAAGTACTAGTCATGGCCTTCAAGGCTTCAAGTTAATCTCTGCATTTATCCACCCACATCTTACATATCCTGATTGCCACCATTTATATTTATTTACTAATATTATTAATTAATATTGTTAACATTTATTTATTATCTGTATCTGTGTGTCTATCTTGTTAATAAATTTAAGGCTGTCATCTGTCTCTCAAGATTAACCTATCCATTTCTTTTTTTTCAATTTTTTTAATGTTTATTTATTTTTGAGAGAGAGAGAGAGAGAGAGAGAGAGAGAGAGAGAGAGACAGAGCATGAGTGGGGGAGGGGCAGAGAGAGAGGGAGACACAGAATCCTAAGCAGGCTCCAGGCTCTGAGCTGTCAGCACAGAGCCCGATGTGGGGCTCGAACTCACGAGCCGCAATGTCATGACCTGAGCTGAAGTCAGATGCCTAACCGACTGAGCCACCCAGGCACCCAACCTATGCATTTCTGGCAGCCAAATTAAGCCTCCTCCTAAATGTTGGCTTCAAGATTCACTCCCACTCTGGAGCGCCTGGGTGGCTCAGGTGGTTAAGCATCCGACTCTTGGTTTTGGCTCAGGTCCTGATCTCACAGTCATGAGATCGAGCCCCCGCGTCGGGCTCCGTGCTGAGCGTAGAGGCTGCTTGGAATGCTCTCTCTCCCTTTCTCTCTGCACCCCGCCCCCTGCCCCAACAAATAAATAAACATTTCAAAGGAGATTCATTTCCACTATGAAATCTTTCTGGACTTTGACCAACCACATTAAATTTCTTCGAACTTGCGGTTCCTCTTCTGCACAAATGGCACCAACATTCCGCACCTCTTGATGTGAGGACCGAATGCGGACTTGCCTAAAGCACGGTTATTTGCCCAGAGCGGAAGGAGCCTGGTGGCTCCCTCCATCTAACACCTGCCACCAGGAGCCAGGAAGCCCCCTGCGGCGCTCTGTCCCTGCATCTGGACATTCCTCGCAGGGGATGGCAGGGACTGCGTGCCTTGGGTGTGCCTGCATCAGCCCCGTTCAGTGAAACACAAGACTAAATACGGAACAGGAATGCACAGACGTGGAATGTGAGAAGTGTAAGGAAAATACACAGTCGCAGATCAGAAACCGGACAAGTCTATCTCCTGGCAGGGAGCAGGAGGGAAGCTTTCACGGAAAGGGTGACATTTGCTGAAAAGCAGAGATTATTCTGAGAGTCCCTTAAAGGTAAGGACTTGGCGGTCTCTGGTGCATCGGGGCCTGGTTCCGAAGTGCCAGGAGCAGAGTGGGGGCTTAGTAAATGTCACGTGAACGATGGGACCTCTAAAACACATTTATTACTTGCCGTTCAACTTCCGCACCTGATAGAAAGGTGAAGTTATTTAAATTTTTTTTTTCAACGTTTATTTATTTTTTGGGACAGAGAGAGACAGAGCATGAACGGGGGAGGGGCAGAGAGAGAGGGAGACACAGAATCGGAAACAGGCTCCAGGCTCTGAGCCATCAGCCCAGAGCCCGACGCGGGGCTCGAACTCACGGACCGCGAGATCGTGACCTGGCTGAAGTCGGACGCTTAACCGACTGTGCCACCCAGGCGCCCCAAGGTGAAGTTATTTAAATGAGAACCCCCTGCTTGCCATTCCAGGGCTATAAATGGGTTGCGGAGTGGTGTTGAAGACTTTTGAGCGCAGGGTCCTAGAGGAGTACCATGCAACTGAGTCGCCAGTGGCGGGACCGTGTCGAGGTGACATGTGTCTGGATGTAGAAGAGGTCATCTAGGTGTTCTACCTGTGCAGCCAGGTGGAGCAAAAAGCAAGAAGCGCTGTCGCAAGTGTGTGTAGGTCAGTTTGCCCGGTGTGTGTGCCCAGTGCCATTGGGAGAACATTTGGACGTTTCACGTATTACGGGAGATCACTTTTTTTCTCCCCGATAAATACATCCATGATGGAAATTTCATTGAAAGCCCCCAGATACCCGGAACCGTGTTAGGGAAGGAAAGCAACCCAGAAAGGATAGATGAACTACTCCATAAATGTGTTTATGTCTTTGTTTCTTCTTCCTCCTCTCTGCCTGTTTATACTGTAATATTAACAAATGCAGCGTTTTAATGAGCTTTGACGGAATTACCTTCGGCGGGTTGGTGCGGTATGTTCCTTGGAGACGCATAACTGCAGTTCCCAGTTTCTGGAAGGAAGTCTGTTCCTCATTAGCTGGGACGGCTAAGAGTGTGCTGGCTCAAGAGAGAGGGGGCCACAGCTCCAGCCCACCTGTGCCTGCACAGGACCGGCCGTGTCTCTGCCCTGCTGTGGAGTCACCTCAGGGCTTTCATTAAAAGTGTCAGGTGGTTTCCCTGGAGGGACTGCTGATGCAATGTCATGTGGGTGTCTCTGGAGGAGCAGTCCTGACACCTACTAACAGTCTGACAAACGGTTAAGTAGCTGTTTTGAGCCCAGGTTGAGAGCTCCAGCGTCGTCTACCTGAGCACTCAGCGGGGAGCTCGGGTTCTCTTTCATGTTCATGGTTGTTAAAGAGGCAGTCTGGAGTCCCTCCCCACCCAAAACCTACCCGCCGCCCTGACAAACACGCTCCCTGAGTAAAACTGCCTGGAAATAAGCAAGACTTTACTATTATTATTGTAATTATTATTATTATTTTGCAAGATGTAGATGGGTTTTTGTATTGGTTTGATTTCGGAACGCGCCCCCTGGAAATCTGGGGAGTTGCCCAGGGCACGTTTGGGAGAAGAGGTCAGAGCCTCCTTGCGTTGACAGGAGGTGAAAAGCCATCACCTCTTTTCTGAGCTCTGGCATTGAGGACCCCGGTACTTGGCTAGGCGGGAGCAATCCGATGCTTCCTCCGAATCAGAAAGCACTTCTTGTGTCAAGTGTCGCAGAGGAGCAGGAGTAGAGAATTCATATTAGAGGCAGCCACACCAGGGGCCAGTAATAGGAGCATCTGGGAGGCTAGTTTTCCCGGGAAGCGGAGGCCCCACCAGACTTTTCCTGGGGTGAGATACTGACTGAGGGTCTTGTGCCTGAGTATGTCGAAACACCCTTTGGTTTCTAGTGATTTTCAAGCCCCGATTTTCCCATCTTTGTGGTGATTCTGAGAGCTGATACTAGTTTAGTCAATTCCTTCTCTGTTAAATTTAGACGGGGGCCGTTTCCATGTTATAATTGACAACCCCGACTCATCCATTTATGTCTCCACGGCTTGGCCATTGTCTACTGGCCACTGAGATCATGGCATTGACTTAGAAGCTTTGGCCAGGCATCCAAGTGTCCAGACCACTAGTCCGTTGAATGGAATCTCCTGTTTAATAATGACTTTTAGCATGCATCTTCTTTTTTTTTTTT